ATAGCATGTTACTGCCTTGGCAAACCCGTTAATGGAAAGACAAGCTCCCCCACCCCCTGACACCAAACCTTCATTTATGTGTCTTAGGTTTTAGGATGTTAAGCACCATTTCTTATCCAGATGTTTATTAACATAAATCAAGAGTAATTTTATTTTTTAATAATAACATTTGATTTGTATGTTTCCAATCTCAGAAAGAATAACAAAGATGTCACTTTCCATTATAAAGTGAAACCTTTATGAAAAATTCATTAATATTCAAAAACTTACCTTTCAAACCATTTAGTTTAGTGCATAATTTGTGAATCATTTTGCTAAGTAATTGTGACTTTACTCCTTCCTGTTTGCATATCAAACAATGAAAACTGACATATATAGGCTCTGATGTATACACTTAATGCTCCTCACATTGTCATCTGTAACTTCTCAAATTTGTGAAGTTATATTTTAAAGTAATCATGCCAATATAAAACATGAAGACTATTCTAGTAAAATAACCACATTCTTATTGGCATTTTTGCCAATAAGAATTATTTTACATTGTGATTTGAAATTAAAAAAGTTTTGTTTATTGAACACCTTGCTGAGTAACGTACTCTATACTCTACACCAAACACTAATGTTTTTCTTAAATATGCTCATCCCAGGACATTTCTAAATTACATCTAAATTAGACCTTATTTGGGAAAAACGACGTTTTTCACAAATACAGGACCAAGGACTGTCAAAAATAAAGGCACATCAAGATAATTATTCTTCACAGTAATTTAATATAACTATCTCAGCAAACTTAAAGACAAGTTAAAATTTTAAATGTTTAATTTTTATACTAGTCCATTTATCATTACTATTATTGTTATGATGATGATGATGACGGGGGGGGTCAAACCTGGGGCTTAGTGCATGTTAGGCATATTATTCTTTTTATACGACAAACTACTGGAAAGTGTCTTTTGTCTATTTTCTATAATGAATTATCATCTGATAGGAATAAATTGGTTTAGAGTATAATAAGACAGTAAAATATGTCAACTGTCTTAACACTTAAAAGCATATATATATACATATGTATGTATGTATGTATGTATATGACTACCTAAGTAATTATAATATTAATTAGACAATGAACAACAAAGAAGATTAAAGAGCTAGCAGACAGAATTCTTTGTAAATCTACTGGACAAAAGCAGATCATGTGTGGAAAGCTTCTTGAGACCATCAAATCTTATCAAATACCGGTAGGGAGGGAAGGAGGGAAAGATGGAAGTAACAGTTTATATTGCATGAGTCCCAATAATTTTCCCATACCATTTCCCATGGCCATTAAAGTGAATATGAAACAAGTGAATATGAATCTGACATATGTCACAACCTCTTAAGGTATCTTTGTCCTTTCTAGTGCCATCAGTAGCTTCAGAATCATTTAGGTTTAAACTACCAACAAAAGTCGAGAGCTTAATGTTGCTATTAACATGGGCACACCTCCTCCTGTCACATGTAGCCTTGGAAGTTTACACTCAGTTCCAGTTGACTCTGAGGGGAGCATGGTGATGGGCATTCCTCAATAAAGTGGAGATAATTGGAATAACATGGGAAACTTGATAATACAATAATGTATTCGTATAGTGTTCACATACATTATGTATGGTTCATGGTGATTTTTTTTTCCTGATGAATCACTGAAACAGGAACTAAGTGAGTCTAAATGTTTGGATTTCATCAACTCATTTTTTTCTTTGACGGTAATGTATGTAAAGGGAAATATATATGTCACCACTGAAGTTGAATACTTGTTTGTAATCATACCAAATTACATACATGCCCTGGCTTATTTAGTGACCATGATAAGTGCTACTGAAGTTTACCATTGACCCAGACTCATGCCCCTGGACTCAATATGCTGAAGTACCTACAAAACAGACTTAACTCTCGATCATTCAGGATTTACAGCTTATTTGTGTGTTCCATCTTTAAGCTCCTCCTTCTTTGATCTCTTTCATTTGTTTTTAAAATGTATTTTTTATCACATGCTGGGACAAAGAAAGGGTGAATATAAGCTTTGGTATATTCTTTTAGCACTGTTGAGATGAAATGTGTTGTAGATTATTTTAATTATTTAAAATGTCCTTAGTTTATTATGGTGTGTAAAAGATACATGAATTACTTATGGATTTCTCTAATTAAATTGCTTTTTATAAACTGTCCTAAATGGTTAAAATATAACTGCATTTCTCTTCTATTTATTTTTTAGTAAATCATATAAGAAGACATTTAGCCTTATTATCCACTTGTGCTATATTCTAAATTCAAATAAATATGAAATGTTCTCAAAGATTTTTCAGTGATAATCAAAATAAAGCATTAGTAACATCAACAAGTGAAACCACATTGATAATTCATGAATATATTGAAATTTCTCTAGCCTGATATTGCACATCTGGGAGAGAACTGCCATTAACACCTAAATACTTTTGATCTTAGGACAAAAGTTAAAGGGAATATCACTTAGCCTTCATATTTGAAACATAAATAGAAAAATTATTAATTAATCAATTAGATTTAGAAGCAACTGCACATTCCAAACATCTATAATAATACCTACTGTAATGATTATTAAATTTTTAATTTGAAGAGTGAATAATAAAGTATTTATTGTGTTTAGATTTTAGTTTTTCAGCTGCTTTTTTTATGTTGCTTTAAAAAAAAATTTGGAATCTCTATGTAAGGGTTACATAGAGATATTTTTAGGCCTCCTGTGACTTAAGCAACATTTTGGCTACTGTTACAAAAGAGGCAAACATATTCCTTAAACAGGAGAAGTTTACTGATTGTCTGTATACAGCCAAATTCAGGTTTCTCCTTGGGTCTTTGGGATCTCATTCTAGTTTGAATACATCTGTTGGTGTGATACATGCAGAGTTATTTTGAAACTATATCCAAAATATATGAGAGAAAAAGTAAAATGAATATTCTTGTGTATGGTAATCTATTTATGACAACCATTCCTAATTGCAAACACATATATGTATATGAATATACATTATCCATACCTGTATTTTTTAGTACAGAAAATTTAAATCTTCCATTCCATTAAAATTCTAAAGTTTTTACTATCCTGGGCTAAATGATTAGGATTTTATCTCCATTCTATCCCATTCTTTTCTGACATAGTGAGGTAACTGTGAAAATGTGTTTCACATGAAAGCATTCCATGGGGTAAAACACCATGATAAAAGAATGCTCTGTAACAGGCACAAGAAGAAAGTTGTCACTTAGGGAAAGTTAGCAGCTGAGCTGATTGGCATACTTTAGCAAAGATGACTGTATTTAAAAGAGAAAGTGCTGCCTTTGGTTTTTCAGGTAGTGACAGAGTTACTGCAGTAGGTTATATACTTATTGAGAGGGAATTAATTTCCTGTAATCAAAGACTGTGGATTATAATCTTTGTCTCCTTCTACAAAGGCCACAGAAGTAACTCTGGGGCTTTTTATTCAACAACATTACATGCGCTTTGTAAAACAGCAATGACATAATCTACATAGAATGGTTTCACCAGCTGCTTTTTATAGCTATAGAACATAGCATATTGCTTCTTTGAGACTAAGAGCCATTACTTTATAAGTGACTATATTTTTAAGACTTTATTTTGGGGAAGAAAAGAAAATGACAGTAAAAATCCCATATTTAGGCAGAAGAAATTTTAGTAAGGTTTGAAAATGAAATTACAAAGCAATATAAGGCTGTATGATTTGGTAAATGATTTCCAGTAATTAACAGGAACTTTTGTAGAAATACTAAAAATAATTACTAAATTATGTTTGGTAGTAGTGATATAAAAGCACAATTTTAGTCTACTTGAGTTTTTTAATTCATGGTGTGTGCACACACATGCATATGTAAATACTATATATAAAATCTTGAGATTGTTTATATTCCTTGTATGTCATTTATAAAGAATAATGTTTTGAAAGTTACAGCAATTTAACCCATTACATCTAAAATGTTATCATTTCCTGTAGGATAAGAGAGAAGATGGAGATTCAGGAAAAGACAGAAAACACAATCCATAGAGGAAAATGACTTAGGGTCAAGGAAAGACAGAATATTTTCCCTCTATAGTTACTATTATTTTGTAGTTTAAAAGTTTAAAAGGTTAGTCCATAGAGAAAAAGAGATGCTCTATGCCCTCTGCTGAGGGTTTTGTCAGTTGAACAGAACTAGGCCAACCTATTACTTCTGAGTTTTGACTCAAAACCAATCCAGAAGATATTTAAAATTGAGAAAGAATATTTTATTTTACTTTTTCTTCTAAAGTTTAGTTTTGAAGATGTCTCATCACTGCCATTGTATAAATAAAATGCATATATACTTATATAGACAAATGAATCTCCAACAGAGAAGGAAATCCTGTTTTAGTTTATAAAGATGTGACTAAAATTACAGTTTAAAAAGCAGACAATTAGGTATTCAAGATGTTTGTAACATCTTATTGCTCAATGATGTGTTCATTACAACAAGCCAGTATGAATTCTAAAATAGTCCTAAATTTAGCTGTGCTGATTGTCTAGGGTAGGGTTAGCACCAAGTGTTTTGCAGCAACACCAATTTCATTCGTAAAATGATTCTCTCTAGTAGTATAGGGTAGGGCTATTTTGATTTTATTTTGCATGTTGGGCTCATAGTTTTTCACCTAACACAACATGACCCATGAGAGCTAGTTGTTGCTTATTTGGGGCTGTGCTTATAAGACACCATTACCAAAACTGATCTGAGAGAAAGAAAAGATGACAACAAATCTCTCTCCAAGTGTTTTGATTCACAGTCCCTAGTTTTCAGTGATCATGAGGAACAGAGATTGCCCCATTTAGTGGCAATATATTTTTCCTAAAGCAGTAGGTGCCATTCCATTAAGCACTAAAATAGATACTAAATATTAATATACTCTCTGGTATTCGAAAACTCAATAATCACTTTGTTTGTTCTCGTCTTGTTTCCCACAGCCAACCCAACCCGAGTAGGTGGCAGAGAGCCTTACCCAGGCTCAGCTGAAGTGATTCGGGAGTCTAGCAGTACCACAGGCATGGTGGTTGGAATAGTAGCCGCAGCTGCCCTATGCATCCTCATTCTCCTGTATGCCATGTACAAGTACAGAAACCGGGATGAAGGCTCATACCACGTGGATGAGAGTCGAAACTACATCAGTAACTCAGCACAGTCTAATGGGGCTGTTGTAAAGGAGAAACAACCCAGCAGTGCTAAAAGCGCCAACAAAAATAAGAAAAACAAGGATAAAGAGTATTACGTCTGATCCCAAGATCTTAAAAGACACTCGTATAGAAATAGTCTTCATTTTATCTGAGACATAATATAAACTTATTTACTTTCCTTTTTATGAAGCACATACAAAAGAAGACAGGGAATGCAATCAGGAAGGAAAGACTGTTTTTAAAAACAAACAAGTATCTCATGCTCTTGTTTCTCAAAAAAAGAAAAAAAAAGAAAAAAGAAAAAAAAAAACCAAAAAAACAGGGGCCAATAAATTCCCTAACATCCGCAGTGTTTTCATTTACTGCCTGTCTTTATGTTGCTGGAACATTTCTAAAAGACAGTGATGACCGCACGCATTCATAAAGCAAAGGAATATTATAACATCGAGGCACAACACAAAACATAACACAAAAAAAGAAGCTACCTATGATCCTGGATTTAGCCAAAGTGCTAGCGCTTTCCTGAGAGGTCAGCTAGTCTGATTGCTAGAGAAGACTGTCCCTTTGAGTGACACAACCTGCAAACCTTGATGAGTTTGCCACCGAGTGCAACAGGAGCAGTGGTTGGAACTTGCATTTGAAGCAAAGTGCTGGCTTTTTTGAAGACTTGTGTAGGAACACATTCAAAAAGCCCCTTTCTGTTTGGGAGAGGAAAACAAAAAAGTATGGAGGCCTTATTTTCAAAAATGTGAAATATAAGGCACATTTTCACACTAAAATTTCAAAACAAAAATGAGAGGGAATAGATGCAATCATTGGGAAACTTTCATGCACGCTTACTATGTTATTACATATGTTTATATAAACCCCATCTCTGTGTGCTTTCTGGACTGTGATAAGTGATGTTTTATAGCCTGTTGTATAGAAAATGCAAAATATATCTCTGCTCTTCAGCCATTTTTGGTAAATTCAATGTTACAAGTCTTGCTAAGTATAGGGAGTTTTATGACATCTGAGCAACAATGATTTCAGTCGGATTTTTTTTTCTGCCACCATTATAAATTGCCACACTTTTTTAAACAAAAATTACAGTGTAGTGTTTATTCTAAGAAAGATATGTATGAATGTATATAAAAAAGACTCAACTACTTTTTTCTTACAAGTACAGCTTTCATTCTGTTGCAATTAAGTTTTAGTATTTGTATGAAAGGTGTGAATTAGAAGGTAAAATATATACATATGTATCTTATAATCTTTTTCTCTCCAAAATTTCACCCTCCCACATGCTTACCATTCACAATCACATGCACACCACACACACACACACACACACAAACACACACACAAATCCATCTGATATGATGGAAGACCCAAACATGCATACAATAACAAATATTTAGTGACAAATTGAAAAGCAGGAAGGAAGAGAGTTGTGCCAAGGTACTATGAAAAATTGGGTGATTTGCTTCATGAGATCCCAATCCCAAGAAGACTCAAGATTTTAGTCCCTAGAGAAATGGAACCTTTTCTTATCAAATAGAATATTACTGGTATATTGCTGCATGAATATGAACCATTACGTGTGCAGGTTACAGAAGCAAAATTGGTCAATCCACACCTTAACTCTGGCTGCTACAATTAAAAACTTTGTTTCCAATAAAAACAATACATATATTCTCTGAACCTGATGTGCATGACAAACTTTTTTGGAAGGTAAACATTTCTCAACTAAGAAAGTATTTTCAGTAATTTTTGATTCTGTATTACTACCCACTTAAAAATCATCCTTTATTTATTGATTATTGACTAAATCTTAACTTTCTGGTTAAAATCATTAAATATAGTTTTAGTTTAACATATATTAAGAAGTAGGAAAGAGTAGATATATACTTGTTTTTTGCATAGTTTCAATGATGTTCCTAGCAATAAATTATTAGTATGAGAAGGTAATACAAAGGAAGTACACTGTTAGATTGCAAGGTGATGCTTTAGTAGAAATTGGTCACATTACTTGAACATCTCCTAAAAAAAATGGTACTAGACTTCATAGAAAAGAATACCTTTACAATTAGCTTTAATCAGCAAAGGCAAAAAAATTCAAAACATCTTTGTGATACTTTAGTTGATAAAAAATGCCAAGTGGCCTGGATTTCAGACATACAGTACCTTAGGAATACATACATTTCATCACAAATCACCACAAACTACAGTTGCCAAGTAATTGTGTAAGAAGTCTTAAAGGCTTTTCATGACCCAGAAAGTAGATGGTATAAAATTTGGTATCTGTTACTTCTGTTTCACGTTTTTACCTCTTTTTAATTTGCCAGGTTAAAGAGCTCACAAGTCTTTTCCCCCTACCCCTCTCATTCAGTCTTACTCAGGGAAAGCCAGTGAAATAAAAAGGGAATATAAAACCACTAATTCACAGCATAAGTTTTTTTAAAAAAAAAATGGTTGTTTTTCCATTAGATCTGTTGGATTTGAGCTAGTTTCATCATGAAAGATTCTAAAAGAATATTTGGTAAATTGAAAAGTGGTATTTTTAAGCAGTATAGATACACTGCATGCTGTTTAGAATTGACTTTAATGTTTCTTTCCCAGCACAAATTTTCAAATTTAATGCAATAATATAATCTAATAAATTGCCAGTAAAAATATTTCTAAACTTATTGGATTAAAAAATCTTGCAGTTTTTTTTTCCCTGAATGGAGAAAGAGAAGGGAGGAACATGAGTTAGAGAGAGAAAAGACTTGAATAAAATCAAAGAATCTTCATAACAAATGTATCAGGGTTCATGTATAGTTTGCAATTAATAGAGGATTTCACACTACCTGGCATAAATTTGATTACATCTCTAGATTGTAGCTTTTCTGATTGAGTATGCTTCTTTTTTATCCATGTAATGTGTTGCCTTTTTACAAAACATCTACTACAAAAACGTGTGAGGTGGCCAATCCCTAAGACATCAAAGAAAGGCCACATGATCTTTCCTTCTAGTGCTTTGTGTGATTGGGTATCTAAGGGGTTTGTTTTATTTTGTTTTTCTGTTGCAAGGCCAACTTATCCATTATTGGAAATGCTAAGCAAGTGGAATTTACTGTTTTGTTAATAAAATATTTCTTAATACAACTGTGGACTTATTGATATAAAAAATTACATACGGTACCATTTTTTGATAATGTGGAACATTAAAGAAGGTTACCTTTGAAAGGAAATCTTGTCCTCAGACAAGGAGGGGAAGAATATTGGTTCTCTGTTTTTGTGAATATATTATTCATTAAGCATCTTTATATTCATACACTTAAAAATGTAGTTACTAAATATAGCTTTCTTTAAATCTGTTCATTTCCATGTACTTGAGAAGAAAAACTCACAGAAGTAGTTGACTACATGAAGATGATGAATTCATAGACATGGTTTTCTTTATAAAAAGCAAAGGAATTCAAGTTAAGTGAATTCCAACCCTGCCACTCACTAGCTAAAATTTACCTAATTTCTCTGAATCTCATTTTTCTTATCAAAAATAATACCAATTTCACAAGGTGGTAAGGGTAAAATGAATTAATGTATGTAGCACATCTAAGTACAAATAAAAAGTGACTAGCAGTAGTACGATTACTTTTCATAAGAATGATAACTTTGAGGAAACATCAAAAATGTGTGCTTAGATTGTGCTATTAAAAAACAAATAAATTTATAAAGGAACATAGTTATTTGTTTCCACGTAACTATATTTACTTTTCACAAAGCAAAGTAGCTTTTTAAAAATCATATAATCAATAATTGGTGACTTTTAAAACCTTGGCCTTTCAAGATAATTTCCCATTGGAAAAGCATGAGTTTGACCTTTTATTTCTTTTTCAAAAGCAAAAGGTTTCAAGATGAATATTCAATCTATTTTGTACCTATATTATTTTAGATACATATGCTATTTCTTAGTATTAATTCATAATGTTTTACATGTAAGAGGGGAAACAATCTACATTTCCTTAATGTCTAAATTATAGGCTATATAATTTGGCTCCTCTTAAAATGTATGGCATTTCAAAGGTGGTGGCTATATAAAACTTATGATCAGGAAACAGACCAATGACTCTTAACCTGTGGGGACATAGACCCCTGGAACCAATGATAAGGCTTCAAGTGTTACCAACTTTACATTTATAATGTTTTTAATATATAAACCATTATAAATATACGCATAATATATATAAAATATATTTCCAACTATATACATATATAACAATTATAATTTGACAAATTGTCTGTAGATAAGTATTTTCCTGGGAAAAGTATTTCATTAGGTCCACCTAATTCTCAGAGGATTCTGAAATTCCCCAAAAAGATTGAGAACCCAAGAAAGAAGAATGGTGGAGGAGGTGAATTCAAATACTACATATTTCAATATATTGTAAGAACTTCTGAAAATGCCACACTGTACTGCCACTCAGCACAACAATAAAATATTAAAATGAGAAAAAATAAAAGAAATAAAATCTTGTTTTAAAAATTATACTGAAGATGAATTGGCTAGTGAGCACTATGCATCAAGAAGATGTCATTAACCAGCTTTAATTGTATCATTCCATTGTACATAGGAAGTGTCCTTGATAAATATTCAGCTATGTAACTAGCTTCTATGAAAATCAATTTTAAATCATTATTTACAAGTTTAATCTTCAAATATTTATTGAGTATTTGAAGTAGTATACATAAACTATTCATTTCGTATACATGTACACTTGTGAACAACTTCATATTCATTTATAAGTAGGCTCCTCCAAGGATAAACTTCCCTATAGCTCTGTTTGACTTAACACCTTGAAGATAGAGTATACATATCCAGTACGCAATGAGCTCCTGGCCAACAAAAGTACCTGTGTTTAAATACGTGAAAGTCACTGTTGTTTGAGAGTGGCAGATAAACTATGACAAATACCTAATTGACCTCTAACTATTTGGTTATATTTAAACAAAAAGGAGAAAACAACTCTGCAGGAGAGTTACACAAATAAGGTGTCTTTGATCGTTTCTTGATGATTTTTCTTTTGCAAAAGAAGCCAAGTGATTCTAGAGCAATTGTGATAAGTATACGTGGTGCTTGCATCAGTATTCTTGACATTGAATGCTGTTTCTCCAAACAGGACGGTAATCTTGGGTGAGGAACAGGAGTGTTCCAATAACATCTGGTGTCCCTCATCTGAATTTCATTCTGATTAAGGCAATGTAAAGGTTTATAATGCTCCACTGGGCCTCCTTGCTTAAATGTACTTTGAAAAAATACAATACCCAGGTATAGTATCAATCCTTCAATAAAAGTAGTGATATAAGGCAAAGGGAGAATGAGGAAGGGAGTGAATTTAATGAAGATATGCTGTAAGCACTTTTGTAGATGTCACAAAAGTGCTCTATTACAATAAATGTACCTCTAGTACAGTAATAATATGATAAAAAATAAAAATAAAAAATATTTTATTTTTAAAATTATTTTATTGTTGTGCTCAGTGGGGGTACATTGTGACATTTACAAAAGTTCTTACAACGTATCAAATATAGCATATTGAATTCACCCCCTTCACCATTCTCCTTTATTCTCCCCTCCTCCCATTCCTGGAATACTTTCAACATGTATCATTTTTCCATTTACACACATGTGTGCAAATTATTATCACTTTATTCACCCTCCCACACCCTTTTCCTATCTCCTTCTGCCTCTCATTGGTACCAACACCGCCAGTCAGGACCTGTACTACCCTCCTGTTTTCCGGCATTTGTAAATGAAAACAATAAAAAAGGAAAAATGACATTTTTGTTTGCTTAAGATAGCTACACAGGGAGATTCTTTGAGACATTTACATGTATATATGTATTATAACCCAAACTGGTTCATTTCTTCTATTTTTCTTCTTTCTACCTTAGCCCCCTTCTTACAGTGGTTTCAACAGTTTTAAAAACTCTATCCATTCTTGTAATAGAGAGTACATCAAATGTATTCACCTTCTTAACTTCTTTTACCCCCCCATATTTGACCGACCCTTAGTATGACCTGTTTTTCATAATATTGCTATATTTGTAGTAAGTTTATATTCCACATATGAGAGAAAACATGCAGCTTTTGGCTTTCTGAATCTGGCTAATTTCATTTAAGATGAAGTTCTCCAGTTCCATCCATTTACCTGCAAATGACAAAATTTCATTTTTCTTTGTGGCTGAATAAAATTATTGTATATAAATACCTTTGTATATAAATACCACATTTTCTTAATTTATTCATCAGTAGTGGGGAATCTTAGCTGTTTCCATAGCTTAGCTATTATAAATAATCTGTTATAAATACAGGGTGCAGGTGCCTTTATTGTGACCTCACTTACATCCCTTCAGGTATACCCCTAGGAATGGAATTGCTGAATCATATGGCAATTCTATTTTCAGTTTTTTGAGGCCCTTCTATACTGGTTTCTACAGTGCATGTACTAATTTATGTTCCCACCAGCAGTGTATGAGGTTTCTTTTTTCCCCACATCCTCATCAACATTTGCTTTTGTTTGTGTTCTTAATGGTAGCCATCCAAACAGGAGTGAGGTGGAATCTTAATGTGGATTTGATTTGCATTTTTTTTTATGGTCATGGATGTTGAGCATTTCTTCATGTGTTTTTTACCATTTGAACTTCTTTTGAAAATGTTCTGCTCAGTTCATTTGCCCATTTCTTCATTGGGTAATTGATTTTTTTTAGGGGGGAAGTTTAGGTTTTTGAGCTCCCTGTACATTCTGATTATTAATCCCTTGTTAGATGTCTAACTGGCAAATATTTTCTCCCATTCTGTGGGCTGCCTCTTCAATTTAGAGACCATTTCTTTTGTTGTACAGAAGCTTTTTAATTTCATGTAGTCCCACTTGTCGGTCCTTTCTCTTAGTTGCTGAGCAATTTGAGTTCTATTTAGGAAGTAATTGCCTATATCTATTAATTCCAGTGTATTCCTTGCTTTTTCCTACACTAGCTTCAAAGTTTCAGGTCTTATATTAAGGTCCTTAATCCACTTTGAGTTGATACTTGTACAGTGGGAAAGACACAGATCTAGATTCAGTTTTCTGCATGCAGATAACCAGTTTTCCCAGCAACATTTGTTGAAGAGGCTGTCTTTTCTCCAGCATATGTTTTTGGCTCCTTTGTCAAAACTCAGGTAGGCATAGCTGTGTGGATTCATATCTGGGTCTTCTATACCAGGTTCCACTGGTCTTCATATTTGTTTTTGTGCCAGTACCACACTGCTTTTATTGCTATGGCTCTGTAGTATAATTGAAGTTTGGTATTGTTGTATCTGTAGTGTTGCTCTTTAAGCTCAGTATTGCCTCGGTTATTCCCGGTCATTAGTACTCACATTAACAAATTTTACATACCTTTAGATGAAAGTACATTCCACAGGAAAGGTATCTGAGGGATACCTCAAGAGACCTTCCTCTAAACAATACTTTTCAGTTGCAGACACATTCCCCACCCCCTGGGGGCATTTAGTAACTTCTGGACAGAGTTTTGGTTGTTCTGTTTTGAGTGGCAAGAGCTACTGGTATCTACTGGGTAGAGACAAAAGATGCTGCTTTAACTGCTTACTGTTCACAGAATAGCTACTTTCAAGAAACAAGCAATCAATCATCCCATCTAAAATGTTAGCCATGCCAGGGTTGATAGGCATAATATATACCAACTGGTTTAAATAATGCACATCAATTTGCTAATATTATTTGGGAATTAACTTAGTGTATCCATCTTGTTTACTAGAAAAATCATAAGAAACCCATTTGCATTGCACTCAGGTACAAGATAAATTCCTCTTAATCTCTTAGTGAATCTATTAGGAAAAGGAATTAGTTTAATTGGTGATGCTGTTTGTTAATTATTACCACTTCCTTCAAAAAATGGCCATAAAACATTCATTCTTGAAAATGATTCTGATTTGGGCATAAAGGTTATCACTATAGAATTTCAGAGCAGAGTAATGCCTCCTCTGTTCAAGGGTTAACATCCTGCTTCCTAAATACGTCAATTGTAACCAGTATAACTTCAGTGTTCACAGTCACATTCAGACTGTCTGGAAATGGTCTTGACATGGACAGATAAACCTTTGAAGAAGGATCTGAAAATTCCTTACTCTTTTCCTGCATTGAACATCAGTTCTCGCTGTTGATTCTCATTTATTTCTTGAAGTCTGATTGTAAGAGGCAAATAAGTGTGGTTCCTGGCCGCTTAGCCCATCCCAGAATCTCCAATATGTTCTTATTTTTGTACCATTTTCAGAAGGCCATCATGCTTTAGTCTGGATCTTGAAAGTCCCTGAAAGACCCATATGTTAAAGGGTTGGTCACAGCTGTGGCACTATTGGGAGGTGGTAGAACCTTTAGGAGGTCGTGCTAAGTGGAAGGAAGTTAGGTCACTGGGAGTGTGCCCTTGGAGGACAC